ACAAAACAACAAAAACAAAAATCAAACAAACAAAATCAAACAAACCCAAAAGCCAAACAAAATAGCTGCAGATCACGACACTACGTTTGCATGTAGCGAAGTAAGACAACATGCATTGGGTTCTATAAGTGACAAAATACTTTTGATAGTTATCGTATTCTCTACTAAAAGCATGGCTGGTTGTGCTATTCCAACCACATCAAAAACATGTCTTTATTATATTGATAATACCAGGTCTGAAAAAGTGGAATCTAATTGTATCAAATTGTATTTAACATATGACGAAATGTTCCCCCTTAAAACAATTTATATATGCTTCAATTCTAAATATTTGAATTGCAACTCCCTTAACTCTTGTGTCGCTTAACTGAGGAGCCCATGTTATCGATTTCTTGGTACGTTTGAATTTGGTTTGCCTGAGTGATAGACATCGATGACCCTCATATACACTTGTCATAACGTGGTTTTCTGAATGTAGTTGAAATAGATCCCTATTTGTTTCTGAAATTCCCAGGGAATTATATGATTAGCTGCAGATCCGACGTTTCTTTCACCGAGTCGTTACTTGAGTACATTGTAATTTATCTGTGTTAAATTATTTGAACAGGATAGCTTCGGGTTGGTATAAAATAATGTATCGATTGACCTATTTTGATAAATCCCCTGGGGTTCTACGCCGAACTCCACGCATTGTTTACTCTTCACATTGTAAATTCTTAATGGTTAGGTTTTCAAACAAACTGATAACACCCATGGTATAATAAAAAGTAGATGTTTGCTCTGCTCGTTGAACAACACTGAGTCTTTAAGTTTCAACAATATGATAAAAAATACCTATCATAATATCATAGTCTACGGGTTAAATGGTTAAACGTCAAGGTAATCCAAAACAGAAATGCCATAGATGTGTTACCAGGTATATCTCGATCAGAAGAAAACAGAAAGCCACGTGGTAATGCACTGCAATGATAAAATCATATGGATTATCTCCCGAACACAACAATACTAGCGAGAGCAATCGTTGGACTGGTTGAGTTTCCTTTTTTACAAATTCATGCATATGTAACACCAAAGAGAAATAGGGAAACTGATGTTTTGGACGTCCGTATGCCAAGTTGATCGTAGTTTTGCCAAATCAAAAAGTGTAATTTATGAACTTAAGGACAGGTAACGTCAACGGGTGGTGTTACAATAAGAGGCAGTGGCAGGCCTAAACATCCATACACAGACTCAACAAAAAGATAGTCTCATTACATTAATCACACTACGCAACAGGTTAAAATCGTCAATGGAGAATTCCGTATAATAACAGGAAGACACTGCCTTAAAAATATCTGCCTGTAAAACAGAGTCCACACATTTGTGCAGGTCAGGCTACTTTAGTGTCTCGCCGCAAGATGTACATTTATCGCTCGAGTTGTTTGTTTCAACAATACAGGTGTACCACTAATCGATTGTAACACTGAGAAAACAACATTTAAATAACAGGCAATCCTTAAGGTGTTGTCCCCGCAGGCTAATGCATGGATACGTGAGAACGTCCTTGTATCTTCACTACTGCACATTGATTCATAAACACATGCATGTGATAAGTAGGAATTGAATTAATCGACTCTTTGATGTTTTTTGGTTTTGGAAAGGGTCTTGTCGCCTGTTTTACTTTGACAGAGTAACTTGTCAAACACGCAGTGTTCAGGGTTACACTAACCACTTCAGATTTCGTTGTAGACAATATGTGAAAATGAATTTCAGTTTAATGTGATTTTACACTGAAAAACTCGCTTTGTGTAAATATATATACGTCGAATGCTTCACAAAGTCATTTGCGACTGCTTCCTCGATAATCTCCAGGGTATACTTTCCGTTAAATCTCCACCATACCCTGGATGCATCTACGGCTCGGCCCGATGATTTTATAACCTCCCTTGGCTGGCATTTTATCCAATCAGGTGTCTACGCTGGGAAGTTGAGCGTACCAACAACAAGTCACTTTCGCTTCTTAAATTATCTAACCTATTAAACTTGGCAACACAGTTTTTCGCAGAGGTACCCTGAAAGAGATAGAAGGAGTTCTTACATATATGTTTTTAAAGTTTCAGACCTGTCAATTTGTCTGTTTGATTTCCCCAAAATTCTGAGTCGCACTGCGAACAAACCTGCGCGGCTGCGACCGCTATCTTTGTTGACAGTGGCAGGCTCGGTTGTAACGGCGGCTTAGCTGATTGGCTACTGTGAGAATGCGGAGCCAGCAAAGGGAGGAAATAAAATTATCGGGCCGAGCCGTAGATGCATCCAAGGTCTTGTGGAGATTTATCGGAACACATACCCTGGAGATTATCGAGGATGTTGCGACTGGTGATATGTCTGTTATAATCACACCTGTGTCCTGCCGAATTTTGATTTGTGAATTTTATGGTTGTCTAGAAGTAAACAGATAGTCCATGCATATGCTTAATTGAGACATGAGTTTACGGTTGTGTCGAACTCGGATAACTCGAAGTATTAAAGCAGTTCCCTTCAATTAGATACGGAAGGAGATACTGTGCGACTTGAAGGGGAAGTAGACTGTGGGAAGCTGCAGTCATTCCTCTTGCAATATATTTGTGTAGGGAGAAGTGAATTGTGAATCTTTAAGCATATATCTTAATAGGAAACAGAAAGGCAGTGTCACTGTATTTCAAGATATGTCGGGTATATGAGTCTAAAGGAAATGGCGGCTAAAAATGGATCTGTGACTCAGTTCCCACTCACAAAGTAACTGAATTGTTTTTGTATATCTTGAAACGCTGGGCAACTGGGACAACACACCTCGTACTTAAATATCGATTGACATGTTTATTGTTGCCTGCTTAAGATTGTTTAAAATATCTCGAGAGTGTCGTCTAAGAACAGGTTTTGCAGACTGTTTAAGAGCGAATCGCGATGACTGGGACGAGGGAAGGGAGGACTGTTGTGCAATAAAACGTATACACAGTTGCAGGCTAACAGCTTGCTATATGTTGTAACTATCTTGACAGTAAGTGAGTGAGTGAGTGGGTGAGTGAGTGAAAGTTTATAGCCACAGCGGCAGTATTTCAACCATATCGTGACTTAAAATTGTTATAAATCCAATAAAGGAAGGGCAGTAAATCCAACAAGTATAACAGAATTCAAAATGCATCTAGCATATATCTCCAAAATAGGATTTCAATTGAGGACAAGACAATATAAAAAGGGCTGAGAACCGCCAACAACTGAAGGTAGATCACCATGCTAGGGACTATGGGGACTTACAGTACTTTGGCTACCTGCATGGAACCTAGTTGGATTTATACCATCCCTTCAGCCACTGGCGATTGTACTGATTTTTAGCGATGGTAAAACAACAAATTCTAACATTAAATAGGGTGTGTAGAGCTAAATTGACTTGGAAAGTTATCTTGACATAGACATATATATTAATGCTCATGCATATGTCCAATTAGCAATGTGGTTCTCAGTCTGTGTGATCTACTGTCATACTGTGTCATATATTGTGCCGTGGACAGTGGCTCTCATGTCCAGTCATGTACAGTGTTGGTGCTAAACATACACAAGCTTTGAAATGTACATAGAAACACCATGATTATACTTGATTATCATAAGGACCTGTTGAAACAAAAGAGAACGACTAAATCAATCGAGTCGTTAACATGCAAAATATTCTAATTTCGAAAAAATAGCTTGGAATGTTTTTCAAAGTTGTGTGTCTTGACTCGTAATACATGGAGATCACTAGTCATTGCAATAACACCTTTTTGCAAAACCATTACTTTGTCAAAGGAAACAAGATAATGATGAAATTACACTGTGTCCGGCAAATATTGACTTCGTTCCAACCCATCAGCGAGTATGTCCATAACGAACGGTTTTTCACAGTTCCCCTTACCACCATGACATATATACTGTTGACACACACACATATGACGGACTAAGTTTACTAAAATATATTTCACATAATCTTGTCTTCTTCAAAAACACAGTGTACATAGCTCGTATAAGCTGACGTATGGCTGGAGCCTGTAGACCAAAATCTAGACTGTCGTGAAAGAAACATATATACTATTTCTTGTACTAATTACAACTTTGACCGCGAGGTATGATCATGCAAAATTTAATGTAGGTAGTATATGGATGTTTATGCTGTTTCATTGCATACATACAATGTTCTTTACAAGGCAGGAATGTATTTTTACTTTGTAGAGTATATTACTGTACAATCTGATACTGAAGAGTGAGTGAGTGAGTGAGTGAGTTTAGTTTTACGCCGCACTCAGCAATATCCCAGCTATATGGCGGCGGTCTGTAAATAATCGAGTCTGGACCAGACAATCCAGTGATCAACAACGTGAGCATCGATCTGCGCAATTGGGAACCGATGACATGTGTCAACCAAGTCAGCAAGCCTGACCACCCGATCCCGTTAGTCGCCTTTTACGACAAGCATAGCCGCCTTTTGTGGCAAGCATGGGTTGCTGAAGACCTATTCTACCCCGGATCTTGACGGGTCGATACTGAAGAGGAATTTGATGTTGTTTTTGGTTGTACTCAACCTTACAGCTGGTCCAGTGTGTATTATCGCAACATCAATGTGCAATCTGCAAGTCCATACCTAAAGAAAATATAATACATTTTATCATCATTATAATATGGGCCTAACGAACTCTGTTGAATCAGTGAACGCTATTGTTTAGATATGTGGCACCAGCATTAGGAAACAATTTACCGGGCAGTCTTCAAACTTCAGTAACATCGTTTCATCTAGTTCATGAGAACTGTTAAAGGGACTATGACGACAGGAATGTACGCAGGCTAAAAGATCCTGCCGAAAGAAAGTCCAATGTGTTATTGAAATATGATTAGACCTTGTCTGAATGATGACAGCACATTCTGCTATTCGCTGCTTGAGCACTGCGATAAGCCCCTTACACGATAATAACATGCACTGCGTTGCTTGCGCAAAACAGACATGTGTAGGACAGCAGACAGTGAACATGTACATAGACACATGGACGTCAAATTAAACGTGTAAACTGTGACAGGTAAACACTGTTTGGGTGACAATTCAGACAGTTTCGAAATGTCGACATTGTTCTTGACATTGCTCATATCAACACTTGTTATCGACTATACACGTGGAACATGTGAGGCCGACTGTGACTGGAGTGTGGGAGAGTGGGGAGAATGCAGTAGATCATGTGGTGGAGGGCACCAAGCCAGGAACAGAACACGTTGTTGTCATGACAACGAGTCTACGGCATCATGCCTGAAACGATGTCAGCGCCGGTCGATTGGCGATGTCCCCGAAATCTACAGATCGTGCAACAAGTTCTGCTTCAATGGAGGGAAGTTTGATGAAGACACTGGTCAGTGTAGGTGCAGCCAGGGATGGACAAGCACCTGCTGCCAAGAGGGTAAGGACATGCTTTAGACTGTTTAAGGAATGTTAAAACCACAAATATCGTGTGGTCAAGATTGTTGGTTTGCCCTTTACTGCTACAATATTCCAACTATATGCCAGTGGTCTGTAAATAATTGAGTCCGGACCAGACAATGCTGTGATGGACGTCATGACCATCGATCGTGTCAATGGAATACCATCTTCTGAATCTACCTAATTAGTGTCCGAACATCCGATCCCATTAGTCGCCTTTCATGTCAAGCATAGGGTGCTGCAGACCAATTCTTACCCGGATCTGAATTTGATAATCAGTGATTGCGTCAATATTGCTTAACGCCGCATCAGCTATGTTCTTTTTCTATTTTTTGTTGATTGTTTTTATTTTTAAAGCATCAAATATTAGCAATAAAGTTCCACGATTAATTCCCTGTACAGTGTCACGTGGATGGACATACCAGGGTGTTGGGATTAAAAATGATAGGTCATAATTAGTAATAAAGTTGTCATAAGTGTTAAAGACTTAGATTTTACTTTTTCACTTACAGTTTTCCGGTATGTTTCAGTATTTTATAATGTAATTTTATATCTTTTATGACAGTGTCAAAATTACAATCACTTCCAGTGACTTTGCAGCGATACACTATAAATTTAGCAAACATCAATACATAATTAAATAATTTACAGTCTTTATGATCAGAGACTCCATTAAGGCCATATAATACAACATATGTGTAATTTGGAGATACCTTATCTTGAATATTTGCTTTTGCCCATTTAAAATATGAAAGCCAGAATGGCAAACCCTGAGAGCAATAAAACATATAATTTCTGATAGTGTCAATATTGCCACAGTGTTCACACATCTACTATCTTTAACATTTAACTTGTTCAGATATAAATTGCAAGGCAAAATTCAGTGAAGAATTTTAAGCTGTAATTGTTTGTATTTCTTTTCTAATTCTGATTCTTGTACAATTTCCCATTTATAAGTATTCTCTTCTGCCACAGAACAAATATCATGCACTAAGCTGTACCAGAACTTGGCATTATCAGGAATATCAGCAACTGTTACACCCTTGACGTGTGGGCAAACATCCCTTGGGAAAGAACAAGTCATATACTTATAATAATAATTTTGACCAATAGCTGTTTTTATGGCATTGGTATACAATCTGTATTTTCTTTGGAAAATTTCTAATCCATATATCCTAGCTAATGTTTGTCTTTGCAGGAAATTTCTTTTTTTTCTTAGTAATTGCTAAACATAAATAATACCTGCTTCTTTCCAATCTAAGTCATATAAGCTTTTTCTCTGTTTATAAGCACCTATTAATTGTTCCAAATAATTTGATGCAAAATGTCAACAACTTTGTAATAATGGAATTTCCAGATATTCAAGATATCCTTATAAAATAGTGGAATGGTTAAATTCATATCTTATAAGTCAAAGTTGCAGTTTAATAAAAACTCAAGGGGGCCTACAGTTTCAAATATAGGTTGAACTTGATAGCTCCAAAAATTCTTATTCTTGCAATATTTAGAAAGCCATACTAATAGTATACTGAACCGCAAAAGAAACGCGATTTTCAAAACCAAATTTTTGTTCTTACAAGGTGGTGCTTTTATTGTGATTGTAAAGTTTTGTTAACATGTTTTTTCAATCCAAATTGACAGTGATTACCAAAATCAGTGTGTTTTCTGATGAAAGAGATATATCGACCAAACGTACCTAAAAAGACGTGGTAAAAGGTTCCGAATGACATTCGTGAAAATGAAAATGCACGTGCAGATCGTGACAACCCTACCAATGAAAGCGAGTCCTAAACTCGCCTGAAAGCATTCTTGTGTTGACACCATCCCCATACCACGACTTACGAGAGATGAGAGGAACCAAGGCTTGGGACGATTGCAAGTTTGCCAGGCTGCATGAAGGGTAGCCAATCATTTTAATGTTCATGTTAGGACAATCTACCGACTGCAAGAACGGTATCAGGCCACTAACAGCATTCCTGACCGTACACGCAGTAGACGACCTGCAGTAACATCACAACGTCAAGATCGACAGATTGTGCGGAATCATATGCAGAATCGCTTCACCAGAGCCACGGAAACCGCTCGCCAGACCACTGGGACTCACAAGAGACCCACTAGTGCCGATACAGTGCGTCGGTGTTTGCGCGAAAGTAATCTCTGCTGTCACAGACCGTGTCGTGGTCCTGTCCTTACTGCTCGTTACCGCCCAAACCGACTGCAATGGGCAACTCAGCATCGATATCGACGTTATCGAGAATGGAGATCTGTGCTTTTCTGATGAATGGCGGTATTGTGTTTCGACAGCCAGTGGCAGAGTGAGAGTACGGCGAAGGCATGCGGAACGGTTTTCAAATGCGTGTATTGTTGAAAGAGACCCGTGGGTTGGTCCAAGCATCATGGTATCGGGTGGAATCGATCTGAACCAGAGAGTTGGCCCTGTGGTGTTCCAGAGTCACGGTCCAGGACGAAAAAATGGCATGACAGCTGCTCGCTATACTGACCAAGTCATAAGACCCCACGTTGTACTACATTCTGAACGTCGCAGAAATCACATCTTCAGCAAGAGAACGGTCGTGCCCACACTGCCAGACTGAATGACCTTCAACCAAGGCCGACAACTCCGGCTGGACTCGATTAGGCATTAAGCAGAGTACGGACCCAAGTACATATGGCCTTCTGCAAACGGCTAATTCATTCCATGTACAGACCACGCAACGCCGTCATCGATGCCCATGGAGGCCAACATGATACTGACTTTTAGGTATCTTAGTGGTACCATTTTTGGTAAATTTGTTTGTGTGAACCCTGGATGTGATTCCCGAATATGTGTTAACCATAATTGTCAAGTTTAAACGCAATCCTCCGTTTTGATTGTTTATTAGAGCGAATTAAAGTGTATAGTTTAAGAAACCACTATCGGTTCGCGTTTCTTTTGCGGTTCAGTATACTTTAAGGGCTTTCTTAAATAAATCAAAACCTTAAGCTTTAATGCCCCGATTTTCCTAACCTTGTGTGAGACGATTTCTTGAAACCTTCTCAGATTTGCTATTCCAAATAAATATAAATAGCTCTCTGTCAATAGACTTGACAACTTTTGGGGAATGGTATACAGCTTGCCTGGTGAACAAGCCTTTAAATGCCTTCTGATTTACTTAATAGGAGTCTACCATGAATTGTCATATTTCTTGACTTCCAGATTTCAAATCTCTTCTTTAGATATTCTAGTGAAATTTCAACATTATCATGAAAACAAACAAAGTCATTAAGGTCTAACATTATGCCTAAGTATTTGTATCTCGATACTTTCTGAATTCCATAAGGTGGGCACAAGTCTTCTTTTCTTAGAGACATTAGGACTGATTTGTCTAAATTAAGTGTTAGGCCACTGAAATTATTTTGTTTAACATAAAATGGTTTTCTGGATTGACGTTTCATCTTTTAATAATGGTGCAGGGTCATCAGCGTAATATATACCTTTCGGCTCTTTTCCTGCAAACTGCAAACCATTGATGCAATCTATGCTACGAAACTTGCTTTTTATTAACTCAGAACATATAAAAAATATATATGGACTAACCGGACACCCCTGTCTTGTTCCGCTAAAGTTTTCAAACCTACTCGTAGATCGGCCACCACTAATAACATATAATGAAATATCATTATAACAAAGGGTTACTAGATTAAGAAACTTTGTAGGGAATCCACATTTTTTCAGATCGTTGATAATAAAATTAAATTCAACAGAATCAAATGCTTTCTCAAAGTCTAAAAATATTCGCATGTTTCAATGATATCTAATAAAAATCTCACATTTTGATGTATACTTCTACCTTTCATAAAACCAGTTTGAGTTTCATGAATTGTATAATCTAAAACAGACTTTATCCCATTTGCTAAAACTTGAGCAAACATTGAGCAATCTTTATTGGGTTTGTCAATTAATGTTATAACACCACGTCTTTGCGAAACACTTAATGTATGTATTTCAGAAGAATATTCCAGTGATTTATCAAAGAAAACTTGCCAAAAATATTTAAAAAATTCACTGGTTAAACCATCACAACCTGGCGTCTTGTTCGGCTTCATTTGTTTTAAAGCACTATATAGCTCATGGAAATCAATATCTTTCATAAACATGGGCTTACATGTATCTTCCTTCTGAATCTGAGGTACATCTTGATCAAAATATTCTAAAATGTCTTCATCAGTCTTTGTGTTTCGACTTGAATATAAAGTAGAATAAAAATCTTCAATATCTGACAGTATATCTTGTTCATTTTCTATTTTGACACCGTTACCAATTCTCTAATTCTCGGATAACTTTTCTACTTTATTTGTCTCTGTCTTTCTAAATTATAAAAAAATACTCTTCTCACACTTTTCCGACCAGTTAGTTTCGTGATCTTATGAATGAGCCTTCAGCTCTTCGTTCATAAATAAATTCTAAATCAGTCTGATTATCCTCATATTCCTTTTGTAAGGTTTTCATCATACTATCCTGTAACTGATTATCCAATATGGATAACTTCTTTCTCCCTTTGGACTTCAATTTATATTTAGTTTTGACATATTCAATACTCATTGTCATTATTTTGAATTTTATCCAATCCCAGTGCATTGCTGGGTTTAAATCTTCCTTTACATTCTTAAAAAAAGTCTTAATTTTATCTACATACTCCTGATCTTTAAGTAGTGAATTATTAAATTTCCAAAAATTAGGCCTACTTTTCCTTTCCTCATAATATTGTAAAATCACAGCTTTATGGTCAGTACGAATGCTGGGTTGTATACAACACTTTAGAACTGTTTTACACAAATTCACATAAAATGAAGTCTCTAACCCCCGGTTCAACGCCTAAAGAAGACAAAAAGAAACATAAGCAGCCCGAGACCCGGGGGACCAACCTGGAGAAATACGCAAAAAGGGACTGCTCTCCCCTGCACGAAGATCGCTCGGAGACGGACGGTGAAGCAAATGGC